GCTGCTTCTGCTGCGGCTGCTGCAACTGTTTGCTACATCTTTTAGCCAACAAATTTAGCCAACGAATTGCCTTAAAAAGACGCACCTCCCGGACAGGAAAACACCATGGCACTGAGGGACGGAATGGTGCCCTGCAATGAGAATCCACGAGGCCTAACGTCCCTTCTGAAACCCTAGTTTAAAAAAAATATTTAATAAAAAACACAAATTTCCAGCGCTTGGCAGCTCTTGGCAACTTGTCCACATGGCCTTCCTGCTACCCTGCTCCTGCTGTAAGCTGCTCGGCTGCTACTTTGGTTGTTGCTGCTGCGCTGCTTCTGCTGCGGCTGCTGCAACTGTTTGCCACATCTTTTAGCCAACAAATTTAGCCAACGAATTGCCTTAAAAAGACGCACCTCCCGGACAGGAAAAGACCATGGCACTGAGGGACGGAATGGTGCCCTGCAATGAGAATCCACGAGGCCTAACGTCCCTTCTGAAACCCTAGTTAAAAAACTTAAATCTCCAGCTCTTCGCAGCTCTTGGCAACTTGTCCACATGGCCTTCCTGCTACCCTGCTCCTGCTGTAAGCTGCTCGGCTGCTACTTTGGTTGTTACTGCTGCGCTGCTTCTGCTGCGGCTGCTGCAACTGCTTGCCACATCTTTTAGCCAACAAATTGCCTTAAAAAGACGCACCTCCCGGACATGAAAACACCATGGCACTGAGGGACGGAATGGTGCCCTGCAATGAGAATCCACGAGGCCTAACGTCCCTTCTGAAACCCTAGTTACAAAACACAAATCTCCAGCTCTTCGCAGCTCTTGGCAGCTTATCCACATGGCCTTCCTGCTACCCTGCTCCTGCTGTAAGCTGCTCGGCTGCTACTTTGGTTGTTACTGCTGCGCTGCTTCTGCTGCGGCTGCTGCAACTGCTTGCCACATCTTTTAGCCAACAAATTGCCTTAAAAAGACGCACCTCCCGGACAGGAAAACACCATGGCACTGAGGGTTGGAATGGGTAGTAGTAGTTGTATCAGAAAATAGTAGTAGTAGTTGTTGTTGTGTCAGAAAATCCTTTTCCTTTTCGCGCTCCCCCTTGCGCAGCCGGGGTCGGCGGATATATGTATATATATATAATAAAGTAGGATCTGATTACTTTTCCATCCTTTATTTGATTTCTATTTTGAAGACGGTGACAATAGCTGGGATTTCACCAAGTGAAACGGGATGGTCACTACAAGAAGTGACCAGCTGATTGGCGGATTACGCAACTGTTTCCTGCCAAGGCAAGTACGCTGAATCGCCCTCCAGCAATGACAGGATTCGACAGGTGGAGATAGATTTCACGACTAGTCGTCTGGATATCCCATTTCTGGTTTTGTATGGTTTTGTGTGGTTGACCTTGATTGTACACAATTCAGCGCAGCCATTCCTCACCATCGATGCTTCAAATCTATGCACCAACCATAGCTAACCACTATCGACGAGGTTTCCAGTTTGAAATCCCCGTTCGTATTCACTTGGATTGGCTATATTTGTCCATGTCGTGTCGGCTCACACCCATTTTTGAATCCACTTGCCACAAAGAAATGCCATGTCCGCCATGTCCAGGCCGCCTTGTACTTCTCAATGGCCGAGAACCAGGTGGAGGACGGGGATCTGGAAGAAGCCACTGAAAAGTCTGAAGGCGCGGGCAACGCGGGCAACGCGGCTAGCGACTCCACTAGGGATGGTTGAAATCCATTGTGAAATCCCAAGAATTTATGGTGATTTATAGTGATTGCCATGGCTTAGCACCACATGGATTCATGATTGGTCCGCGAACTGATGCGTGAATTGCTACCCAAATTCACCATCATTGATGAGAATGACATGAGGATTCGCCATGATCAAGCATGTGGCATCATTACTATCACATTGATGATTAACAGTTATGAACTCATCGAATAGTCTTTTAACAATGATATGGTCAGTCCACATTGATGAAAATAATTGTTTGGAATTACTACCATAATTGATGACTAATCATTATTTACCATCAATAAGCATCATGTGATAGGACCAACCATGTTTAATCATATTTGACCATAGTTAACCATTAATGGAAGCATTAGGAAAAGTATTTTACTATCAGGATTGCTCCAGCCGTGGTATCTGGGGTGTTTTTCGAGCCCCTTGAGATCATGGGAGGATTTGATCATCGATGGATTTAACGAACGGAAAAAGGGGGATTTGATCATCAAATATGGGTATGGATCAATACCTATTAATATCATTTTTAGTGGGATGAACATCCATTTACCAGCTATTTTGATGTTCACCAGGGGTACAAGGTTTTGACACACTGCCATATGGCGAAAATTCAATCATCGAACATCATGATTTTTCGAGTTGTCCTATTTCACTTGATTTCACTTGGGACCCCAAATTATCCTCCAATTTATAACACTTTGTTCATGGAGAAACCGGGGTATCTGCATCCCAATTTCCGGAAAAATCACCATTTTTCAGGGGTCCCGGAATTGGTGTAAAACGGAACATTTATTGTTGAACAAATCTTCATAGGTAAGTGGATTCTCCTTTGAAACAGCCCAGACCCATGGTTGAGTGGGTTACTGACTCATTTGTTTATTGTTGGCGCACTCACCAGACATGAGCTTGTTACCGGGTGTGAAAGAACATTTTGAGGTCTAAAAAACAGATCCACTTTTTGGTTGTGGCAAGTCGTGACATGTCACGACATGTCCGTTGTGTGGCTGGTCTGGCCCCGGTCACCATTTTTTTGCTTCGCTGCGAGGCTGTCTGGAGATCTTCAGAGAAGAGAATGACCAGAAAGGCTGGGCGAAATTTTCGTCCTAACGGAGGATTTTGGTCACCTCATGATGAATTGACATGGTCAACGGCGTCAACGGTTGCATGGTGACACAAATGAAGATGGGCCAAAACCCATGAAATATCCAATGAAATACGATATTTTTGGAGGGATGAGCATCCGTAGAAATCCCAGCTATGAACAGGTGACCAGGGGGGATGAAGCCAGGTTTTTTTTGACCGTCTTCGCCAAGGCATCCGAGACTCCTTGCGATTAGCTGTCCATGTCCTCCGGGCGAAGGCAGACGAGGCCCAGCATGGCGAGGATTTTTCTGGAGATTGAGATACAATGGGGATATCACCGGTATTTTTCAGTCTGATATCACCAAGAAATGATAGGATTCTGATGGTTTCTGGCAACAAGGAAGAAACCTCTTGAAACCTCTAGCAGCATGATATGATTGGCACGCCCAGTGTGCAGGCCCGAAACCAGGGCGAGCGAGCTGCTGTCAACGCCCAAGTGTTTTTAAGGGTCTGCTGGCCGATAGAGATGAAAATGGCTAAGGGACATGGCCGGAGAGATCGGAATCATCTTGAAAAACATATACATATCGTTGTATATATATGTATAATTAAGATTACGTATATATATATATATATATACATATTGTGAAATATCCACATTTGATCAGATAACCTTAAGCCCCATGACCTTCATCCTTTACACCACCTTGTCAAGCCAGGGTCCAAAACCACACGTGCTTGTGCATGTCTCTAGACATATGGCTCGGTGAGCCCTGGTGTTGCGGAGGGAGGGAACGTGGTGTCTTGAAGCCATAACCGAAGGTCTGGTCAAGCCGTGGATCGGCTTTTGGTGTTCGCTGTGTACAGCTGCTTTTGGTCCGGTGAGACTTTGGAGCTTGGGTGCATAAAACAGTGAGGACGCTGCAGGTTGGTTGAAGCTGACGGGGTCAGCCAGTGTTTCAGTTGAAGGAGCCGCTAGCCATTCACATTGGTAGCGGAGCTCCCTGCCTCCGACAAAGCAGGGAGCATCCAGGGCTACCAAGATCTGGTGTTGGAAGACGGTGCATTGAGACTGTGATCATCAAGACCGTCCCATAGCCATGTCTGAAAGTTCTGGAGGTGAAGCCCAGGGGGGCATCTCGAACCAGCTGGCAACGTTGGTTCCCAGTTTTGACCCTAGCAAAGATGAGTTACAAATGTACCAGCAGAAGGTGCAGCTTGTTTTGTCAGTTTGGCCGTCAAACCGAATCTCTGAACTGGTGACAAGACTAATCCTCAATACCACAGGATCTGCCTTTGCAAAGCTCCAAATCCACCATGCGGAGCTCTGCAACAATGAGGCCAAATCCGTCCAGAAGCTCATTGAGTATCTAGGTGGGCAGTGGGGAAAGACTGGATTAGAGAAACGTTACTATGACGCTGAACGAGCCCTTTTCCATTGCAATCAGCAGTCCGATGAAAGCCACGATTCGTATCTAGCCAGAGCTGATGTTTTGTGGTCGAAATTGAAGTCTCAGAAATTGCAACTGGAAGACTTGCAAGCTTACATCACCTTAAGAGGTGCACAGCTGTCGGGAGAAGACAAAAAACGGATCATCCTTGACTCAGATTCGTCTCTGGAAGGATCACTCACAGTAGGCCGTGTCCAAGAAGCAGTTCGCATGCTTGGTACCGCTTTCTTTCATGAAATGACAGGTCAGGGAAAGAAAACCAGCAAGTCCAAAGTGTATGATGCCTCCACCTTCATTGCTGATGACATGGAAGGAAATACTGAAACCGAGGACCATATCCATACGTCACAGCATGATGAATGGACCGAAGATGACATGCTCGAGGCATTACTTGCTGAGGGAGACGATGATGCCGTGTTCATAGCCGATTTTGAAACGGCTGCCAGTGAAGTCACCCAAAGCGATGATGACTTAGCAGCAGCATACTCGACGTACGTTGAGGCCAGAAGGAAATTGAGTGAGAAGTTCAGGTCACGAGGTTTCTGGCCAATTGGCAAAGGAAAGAGCCGACATGGAAAAGGAAAAGCCAAAGGGAAGTCCGGTTGGAGTGGCAGAAAATCACTTCAGCAAAGGATCTTAGAATCAAATTGCCGACTGTGCGGGAAAAAGGGTCATTGGCGCAATGAGTGTCCTAACAAGCCTCAAGGGACAGCTTCCGCAACTGCCTCTGCCGCCATGACGGTGTCGTTTGGCGACACCCCTGCATCGAGTGATCAAGCCATGCCAGCCGAGTTCCTGCTTTTGCCTGAGATCCCTTCCACCAGTGCCAAGGACATTTTGTCCACAGAGCCACCGTGTGTACAGTCAGTTTTTTTCATGACAGGTTCAGAAAACACACCCAAGCCACATGTTCCTGAGAATAACATGAGGGAAATCCGGGAGAAGATTAGAAACCATATTAAGGGTAATAAGGGGACTAATCTAGGAGTGAAAGCCCTCGTGCACAGGATTGAACAGAAGCTGCGACACCAACAACCACGATCGCAGTTGGCCAGTTCCAATGAGTCAGCCCGCCAGCGCATTTTGCGTTTTTGCCGCGGACATGAACCAAGCCGAGATCAACCAAATGTGACAACCTGCTCAAAAGCAGCAGGCTTACCAGTGTTTCCAACACCAGTAGAGAGCCTCAATGCGCCAGAGATCCCTGACAGTGCCGAAGCCCTTTTTGCCACACATGAGACTTGGGGAATTGTTGACACAGGAGCTACCAAGACGGTAATGGGAAGTAACTATATCCAAAGTTTTCTCAACCACTTGAACCCCGAAATTCGTCAACATGTCAAGCGTTGTTCATGTGAAGTGTTGTTTCGATTTGGCAATCAGGGCACTCTCAAAGCAACCCATGCTATTGTAGTTCCTGTATGCGGAATGTGGTTGAAAATAGCAATTGTCAGTGGAGCCACGCCGTTTTTGGTGTCCAATACCCTACTCCGGGCCATAGGTGCAATGATCGACACAGACAATCACCAACTCATCATACCAAAGTTTCAAGCACAAGTTCCACTTGAATTGACCAACAAAGGATTGTATCTCATCAACATGAATCAATTGTTTGCCCTTGCACCCGTGCCTGGAAGCACAGAGACCGCTGCCGAGACCTATGCACAGGAAACTCTTGACAGAGACCAAAAAGGCGGGAGTGAGAATCAAACCAGATGTCAGAGCCAGCCACCGTTCGAAGAGCCCACAGGTTCAAAGGTGACAGGTCAGACAGATCAGCCGAGTCACGTGAAACCACCGTCAGTGTCACTGTCGTACAAGTTGCAACCTGTTACACATACGAGTCTCCCAGCAGAATCCGAATTACCAAAGTTTTTCACTCAAAGCACCCGTAGTTCCATTTCCGAGAAAGTTGAATTCGATCATCATGAGCAGCTGGAGCCATCGCCTGTCCAAAGTCCAAGCAAGCTATGCCCAGGCATCCGAAGTGGAGCCACTCGGGCAACTGAGCCTGACCGAACTCAAAGCCACGCCCAGGAGCTTTGGAAAGGCCCACATGGGCAAAACGTTCCAGGAGATTTGGGACAGCGATCCACAATGGATCAAATGGTTCCTGAGCCATTATGCAGCCAGCACAAAGACCAAACACCGAAAGATGATCCTGTTCATCCAGCTCATGATCGAGGAGTCAGAGAAAGAGACTCCACAGCCCTCAGCCAAGGCATTGCCCAAAGCCTTAGCAGCTCGTCCAAAGAGCCATGCAGCCCCAGCAATGCAGCTGCCTGTGCCGACGGAGTCCGAGGTGGAGTCTTTCGAAATGATGAGCGAAGCACCATGGATCGAAGCATCAGAGACTCGAGAGGACATACATGCCCTTCAGACTCGCTTGCTCAGCCTGGAAGATGCGATGCAGCGCATGATCGCGCTGATGTCGCGCGGACCCATGACGAGTCATGCACCGATCCCAGAAGATCATCTGGAAACTGCAACCACAGCATGGGACGATCCCTGGAACAACTAAGCGATGATGATGATGTGCGTTGCCACTGGGCATTGAAAGCTGGGGAGATAGATACCTTCTGTGAATCGAATCCCAACAAAGAGAGGCAGCATTTTTGGGGTTTAGTTCGAAAAATGGAGAAAGAACTCAGTCAGACCGCTGCCATCATCAAGCCAGAGCATGCCGCCCCCATCGATCTCCTGGAAGTGTTTTGTAGTGATCACAGCAAGCTCACATCCCAGGTATTGCAATTGGGGGGCCTAGCCAAACGGTTTGGTTTGAACCAAGGTGACCTGATGAAATCTGAGGGTCGTCGCGAGTTGTTTGCACTTGTGATCCGGCATCGTCCCCGTCACATATGGGTCAGTCCGGTCTGTGGTCCATGGAGTTCATGGTCAAACTTCAATAGTCAAAGGTCGTTGGAAGCATGGGATCATGTCAATGATGAAAGGTGGATGATGCTTACACAAGTCGCGCTGTGCCTCGTCCTTTGCCGATATCAACACAGATGCCAGAGACATGCACACTGGGAACAGCCCAAAAGATCCCACATGATGAAACTGCCGTATGTCCAAGAAATCCAGCGCTATATGGTTGTAGCCAAACCAGACTTGTGCCAAGCAGGGGAATTAAGGGATCCTATGACGAGTCAATTCATTCAGAAGGGATTGGAAATTCACACGTCCTCCCAAAAATTGTTTGAAGCATTGGACCCCCTGAAATGTCCCAAAGATCATGACCACCAGACAATAGAGGGATCAACACAGGTGCAGGGTCAAAAGATGTTGAGATCCAAGTTCACCGAAATATATCCAAGGAAGTTTGCGAGGTTGGTTGCCAAAGAAATGTTGAGACGCCGATTTCCCCTAGAAAGACCTGTTGGGTCACTGGCTGATCCGATGCTGTGTGTGTTGGACAGCTTGCCGGCAGAAGTGTTGGCAGCCACCGTCCAGGAGCGGCCTTCCAAGCGTCCCCGCAAAGCTTCCGCAAAGGGAGTTAAACATGATGCTGAAACTGGCGCACTCGAGCAACCGCAGGAAATGAAGAGAGTGAAACTCTCAACATCATCACCTGAAGATGTAAATGAACATGCAGAACAACAGCCACAGTCTAGGTCCGAAATCCAGGAAATCACCAATCGCATTGAAGCAATCCTTCCAAGAGTGGGTAAGAAACAGATGGACAGCCCCGGCATTCTCCAGGACCTCCAAAAGGAATTCCCTGAGGTAATCATCAAAAAGGTAATGGCTTGCAAGGGGACCGATCGCCGTTGGGGACCTCCACAAGGTTTCAATCCCGCAGAAGCACCTTTGAGAAGATCCATAATGAAACTGAGAGAGAATTTGAGCATCATTGTGGATACATCATGGGAGAGATATGCAGAGTTATCCAATCGTCAAATCATCCGAAAATCACCTGCCTGCCGAGTGAATATAACGATGTTTTCAGCGCCCAGACCTGCAGAAAGCTCCGACCATGACCTTGCCAGGAAACCTGCCTCATCCGAAAGCCATGAAGATCCCGAAAAGCTGGAGATCCAATCTGAGAAGCCCCATAACATTGAGAACACTCAAGGGGATCACCATGGACCAGAAGATGATAAAGTTTCCGAACCTCAAAGTGAGCAGATAAACCCAAAGGAACTCCAAGAATCAACATCTTCCCAAGAAATCATAAGAGATGGAGAAACATGCGAATCCAATCCTTCTTCACAAGGAAACACCAATGGAAAAGAAACCCAAATCAGTTCTGAGCATGGGATCAGATTCCTGGCACTTCCCAAAGAGGAGCAAGCAATGCTGCGCAGGGCACACCAAAACTTGTGCCATCCGAGTGCAGAGCGGCTCAGCGCAGTACTGAGAACCCAGGGTTGTCGTCCAGAGTTAACCCAAGCTGTTTTCGACATGAAGTGTCCCACATGCATGTCATGCCAACAACCAACCAGTGCAAGACCAAGCTCATTTAAAGATGCATTGGACTTCAATGACAAGGTTTTCATTGATGGAATTACATGGACGTCCAAACAAGGTAGAATGTTCCACTTCTACCACCTTATTGATCAAGCCACTAACTTTCATGTTGCAATTCCAGCGCCAAGCCGAGCCGCCGACCAAGCAGTGTTGCGAGCCTCAGAAGCCTGGTTCCAATGGGCTGGTCCTCCAAACACCATGATTATGGATTCAGCCACCGAGTTTACCAGCATGGAGTTTGAAACATTTTTGCAACGTCATGATGTGAGGGGGGTAGTCACAGCTCCACATGCCCATTGGCAAAACGGCCGATGTGAACGACATGGGAAAATCTTGCAAAGCATGCTAGAAAAGCTAGATACCGACAGTCCCATCACCACATATGCAGAGCTCCAACAAGCACTTATACAATGCACCCATGCAAAAAATTGTTTGAGCATTCGCCGAGGGTACTCGCCAGAAGCGTTAGTCTTTGGGAAAAGTTCCAAAGTGCCTGGGTCCATTGCCAGCTCAGAGGAAATGCCTGCACATGCCAGTGCAAATCGCGAGGATGCCTATGGAATCCAATTCAGGCAAAGCCTGGCCCTGAGGGAAAAGGCTCGGATAGCCTTCCATCAGGCAGACAATGACATGGCTTTACGCCGAGCATGCCTTCGTCGGTCACGACCCGATCGCACTGGATATGCCACAGGAGAGTGGATCATGATGTGGCAGCCCCAAACCAATAAACCTGGTTATTGGTTCGGTCCCCTAAAGGTAATTCAACAAGAACCTAATCTATCAGTTTGGGCCACCATGGGGGGTAAGCTACATCGAAGAGCTCCAGAGCACATCCGACCTGTCAGCTCAGCCGAAGCGAGACAACTGCCCGAAGAAGGTGAGGAGCACAGACAAACCAATGTCACTGCCAAAGTCCTAGAACCATTACCAACCGAAGACCTGTCCACAAGCCATCCAGTAAACCCAGAAGATAATATTTCCCCAAATAATCCTCCAAGTGAAGATAACTACAGTCAATCTCAAGAACAACCCGACAATGAACCAGAAGAAAACAGTACTCACAGTGAAAACAATGACCATGTGAATACACCAATTCCCGAAAATGATGAGGATGATGATTCATTGGTGACTTCTCACCTCTTGTGCTGTGAAGATGAAATCATGACCGTCTCTCCGGAGGAGACACCATGTGCCTGGCGCTTTGACGTAGAAGTTCCAACATACATGTCAAAGGAACAAATGGAAACAATGACCTCAGATTCCATCCTTTTGGCTTCAACCCACAAGAAACAGAGGACAGAAGTGAAACTATCAATGCTATCCCAGGAAGAACAGCAAGCCTTCAAACAAGCCAAGCAGACAGAAGTGAACAACTGGATCTCCACAGGGACAGTGTCAAAAATACTGCGCGATAAACTTGCACCGGAACAAATCCTGAGATGCAGATGGTTATTAGTCTGGAAAGACCGGGAAGAAAAACCAACCAATGGGAAACTTGAAGACAAACCAGAATCCAAACTGCACACACATAAGCCCAAAGCAAGATTAGTTGTTCTCGGATATCTAGATCCCAACATCACCGAAGTTCCCAGAGACAGCCCAACGTTAGGTCGAATTTCCAAGATGTTGGTGTTGCAGCTGATTTCATCAATGGGATGGAGTCTGGGATCATTCGATATCAAAGCAGCATTTTTGCAAGGACGGCCTCAACAGGACAGAATCATGGGATTGGAACCAGTTCCAGAGCTTGCCAAGGCACTGGATCTCAAAGCCAATGAAGTGTGCAAATTGGACAAGTCAGCGTATGGTCTCATCAATGCCCCGTTTTTGTGGTTCAAGACACTTTGTGATGAACTGATGCAGCTTGGAATGGAGCCGAGCCCATTTGATCCATGCGTGTACATCTTGCGCCACCCAACGACGGGCAAACTGTCCGGCATTCTAGGAGTGCATGTGGACGATGGAATCCATGGAGGAGATGAATTTTTTATGAAACAAATTTCCAAGCTGGAGACCAAGTACCCATTTGGATCAAAGAAGTCAAAATCATTTACTTTCACTGGAATTGACATGCAACAACAACCAGATAACAGCATTCACTTATCTCAAACGAAGTACGTCAACAGCATTCCTCCAATTTCCATTAAACCTGACCGCAGAGCCCAAGAAGAACAACCGGTCACCGAAGTGGAACGCCATCAATTGAGAGGGATCATCGGATCCTTGCAGTATGCTGCTGTTCACACCCGTCCAGATCTTTCAAGTGCCTTGAGCCATCTTCAATCAGAAATCAACAAGGCCACGGTTGGAACATTGGTGACAGCCAACAAAGTTCTCCATACTGCCAAGAAGCATAGCGATGTAACCATTAAGATTAAACCAATCAGACCCCAAGATCTTAGGTTTATTGCTTTCTCAGATGCTTCGTTTGCGTCAAAAAGTAAACCCGAATCTCATGCCGGTATGATCATCCTTGCAACTCACAAAGAGATTTCCCAAAACCAATCTTGTGATGTAAGTCCGATATCATGGGGTACCAAAAAGATTCAACGGATTGTAACGAGCACATTATCAGCAGAAACATCCGCATTATCAACTACCCTTGATCAACTTACCTGGGTAAGAATCTATTGGGCATGGATTTTAGATCCCAAAGTTGAATGGCAAAAGCCCGAAAAAGCCACAAATCTCCCTCCTGCAATTTCCATTCCCACGTACAAAGCTGATCACCATGATCTTGCCATTACAGATTGCAAAAGCCTTTACGATTTGACCACTAGAACCGCCATACCCAATTGTCAAGAATACAGAACTCAATTATTAGCCCGATCAATCAAGGACATTCTGACAGAGGGGATACATCTCCATTGGGTTCATTCAGGGGCCCAACTTGCAGACTCCCTCACCAAAATTATGGAGGCCAATTTTTTAAGGGAAACACTCAAACAAGGAAAATATTGCCTGCATGACTCAGCAGAGGTACTCAAAAATCGGGCTTCCGCAAGAAACCGATTGAAATGGCTGAAGACGTCCACTGATCAAATGTGTTCC